CAGTAATAAAAATTAGTATGCGTTGTTACTTATGAGGCCTAAAATTTAATGTCTCGTTTTCAAAACAAAGCATCTCCGGTTCTTTTTACACTCACCTTATGAAACATAGCAGCATTAGTCTGCTATTTACTGGTGTATTGTGAGAGTATGGTCCTTCCCCGGTCGATCCGACCCAATCGTGGTACAACCATAATACAATACAATACTGTTGCAGTTTACCTTCAACCTAAAGATTATGGCGTTACATCGGCTATCATTCATCCAATTCGGATGATTGAGTATTGTTTTTCGCATACACTACTGATGCCGTATACGTATTTAGCTATACAATATGTTATAGACGAATAGACTCTTGTTCAATTTACAATTTACAATAATTATACAAGAATTTTTATCAATTGAACCTAATAATTTTGAACCAAGTCGAGAATTCTTTCAAATTATTGCTTTTGAAAGAATATTTTGTCAATTGATAAAACGCAATAGACCGTGGAAATGCTCGATATTGGTACTCGAAACTGGCGCCAGAAGATTCATTTGTCATTATCCGTCTTTTACGGGGACTGGCTCCATCTTTAGCGTTTAAATAAATGTACATCGATACATCGTATTAAATCGACATAATATTATCACAAACGTTACAAGATGTATGAACCAATAAAAGTATCAGGAAATACGAAATATTATTCTAATTTAGTGGTTACGTAATTTCTATTACAGATTTATGTGCCTTGTATAGGAGAACGTATTTAAGTTAACATATCGTAAGTGGATATTTTGATTTTCAAAATTGCGGTTTTCTATTTAGAGTTTATGACGGTAAGTTGTAACTGATTACTATTTACCGCCATATGAGATTTTCACTGGCTTATAATAAGTGAAAACATGCTTATAATGCATTAGTACTAACTGGTAGGGGTCCTTTTCTGCTTAAATATTCATCTGGGTGGGTACTACATTGCATAATTCTGCTGTCATATAGTGGTGCTTGCATTACTTCATCGTTTCCTTTTTATAAAACTGATGAACTTACAGTTCACCGAATCAACTTCTGCAACCCATGAATACCTAAAAACAACTTCAAATAAAGGTTACCGTAGTGGACTGAGATTATATTCTTTTCAGCGTGTTATTAGAGTGGCTCTCTGTACCCCTTTAGACAGCAGTGCTCGCAATACTTTTTCATAAGAATATAATAATTTGGCAATTACCCTGACTGACTTTTGGTGGATTATTACTTTTTTTATAGGAGAGGGGATAACGAGCATGCGGCTCACCAGATGGTAAGTGACTACCGCCGCCCATGAACAACTGCAACATCAGGGGAACCAGGGGAATTGCAGATAATATTAGTTTAATGTGTAGATAGATAACAAAATATTCATAGATCTTGGTTATTGCTAGCCTTTCAAAAATTCTAGTATGTTAAAATGTGCAGAGTAGTGGCGATATAAGTGAAGCCACTACCCTATATCATGCTGTAGGTATCGTAAGAAACAGCGAGGGACTAAAAAAGAAGATGGATAGTAGCATGTTCCCGGCGATAGTAATAAAAAAACTGCGGTTGCCAACCCGCCTGCCAAGCGTGGCAATACTATATGGGATATATATATATATATATATATATATGGGATATATATATATATATATATATATATATATATATATATATATATATATATATATATATGTTTAATGTTAGACTTTTGTTAGACGGCAATTAATGATTAATGAAATATCCTACAAATTTGTAAAAGAGATGTGGATGTGACATTTTGGATTCATTAAAGCAACATTTTACTGCTAGATCAGGGACCCAAGTATTCCTTTATCGCAACGATTCCTTCTTTACTTATTTCCCCAACACCCTCGCACCATTAGGTAATGTGTTAATGTCGCGCCCGAAGCTTTGTGTAAAATATTTTGCTTACGTCGAATAAAAGACATGAAAAGACATTTCTAAGAAGCATTTCTGCCAAAACATATAAACAGTTTTTTTTTTTACTTAAACACATTGTTATTTTTTAACTTACAATCACAAGATATACAAATAATAAAGAATCTATATTAGAATCTAACCAATCATGGAAAAAGAAGGTGTTTAAGTAGAAAAAAAAAGAGAATACTATTTATATGTTTTGGCAGAAATGCATCTTAGAAATGTCTTTTCGTGTCTTTTATTCTACGTAAGCAAAATCTTTTACCAGTCAATAAATATTGACTAGTAAAAATTGACTGGTACATTATTTAGTAAGTTTTTAAAAGAAATGCAACATAATATATAATAAATAAAAATAACCACGTAATAGCGTAATAGCTCAGCAGCCAAGCACTCGGTCTTAATTTTAAATTACCTATACGTCTCAGTAGCCCTTGTTCGTTTCCCACCGTTACATATTATATAAACTAGCTTTTGCAGTCAAACTTCAATCAAAACTGTTTAGAGACCTCTACGGACTAAGATAGAATACATCACAGCTTAACCAGAAAAATGTTCACTACTACTGCATGCCTTCGATAGGTAATTCAGTGTTGAGCAAGGTTGGTCACGGTATTGCTCCCACGGTGGTTTACAACCATCATAACTAGTTCGTAAAGTCAAATGGACTTACCTACCTGCTTTTTATAGCGAATCGTTGTGATCTTTGATACCTCCAGCTGGAGGTTATCTGCTGCAATCCTCGTAATCTTCTTCACAATGGCGATGATTACACGATAATATGCTTAAGTGTACACAATGCAATCAAAACCTAGTGTGGAGGTAACGTTGTATTTAAAAAAAATGTTAGATTATTATGAACTGCTGCTTGGCGAGTAAGGTAAGTATCCAGACGGAATCCTAGGCAGGAAAGAAGTCCTACCACTTTACTTAATAGAGCCATGCTGCAGCTATATTACAGTTGTAAACAAAGAATGGGTCGGCTCGCCCGGGGAAGGAACACGCTCACACAGGAGTAGAGGACCGGAGACCATTTTTACTAGAAAAGGCACATTCCATTTTAGTCCTCATTGATGACAACGCATCTGCATTTTGATTCTTAATCGTAGATATCTATGGGTAAGAGCATGCACTTACCATCAGGGCTATGGTTTGTCACCCTTATTCTTTATTAAAAATATAAAATAACGAAATGAATTGGAAAATATTTAGACTAATTCGTGAAAATTAATTGCTTTGGTGGAAATAAAATCTGAATACAAGGCACATGTTAATTTATTGCGGTTGTTTGGGAGTTAATTAATCGCCTCTGAGAAAAACTGCTTCCGTTTGTGTTCGGTTCATCGTCATGTATAAATAAATAACAACGTGAATTTTAAATATTTATTTATTTATATATTTATTTTTTATTGCATTCCTTAATCTAAAAGAATATAAAGGGCGGACTTAATGCCTTGTGGTATTCTCTACCAGTCAATCCATGGAGTGGTGAGACTTTGAAGTAGGTGTAGCAATATAGAATAAAACAAAATAGAAATGATAATTACGTTATATATACATTTTACTAATATATACAATAAAAAAAAACTATAAAAAATATATCCTATTTATACATGTATACAAATATATACGTACATACATAAGCATACATATATTCATATCAACATACATACACAAATAGTACATATAAATAACTATAAGTATATACGTCTAAAAATATAAATGCCATGGATTAATCTTTTATTATATAATGGATAATCATCTTCATCATTAAATCCTATCAAAAATCTTTCCCACGTATTGCTTCAAACGGAGATATTTGTTATAGTTGCCCGCTTTGCTGGCAGGTTCAGAACTGCAGTTTTTTTTATTGTCTTGATGCCATAAACGAGTGTTAAAGTTAAAATTTTGTACAACCGACTTCAATATAAGTTATTAAGGATAACTCAAAAACTACTCGACAGACCTTGATAATTTAGAGGCAGATCACAGAAGAAGCACCAGCTTCTAACACACATAAAAAACATACAGTCAAATTGAGTACCTCCTCCTTTTTGAAGTCTGTTAAAAAACGCGGCTATTCATTTTCTGGCTTAGTTTCCTCGGTCGCCTCTAATGACACCCTCGGGACGGTATGCGGTAATGAATATTCTTACACCGCCTTTACAATCAATTATTAGCTTTGAGGTTAGCTGACAGGAAGTTCGAAGACCGATCTCATGTTTCAGTTTTCCTCTGTCGCCTCTTACGATAAAAAAGACACTAAATCGCTGTTTGAAACATGTACCTTGCAAATAATGGGTAATGAAACAGTGTTAGTCTTATGAAAAAAATTAAAAGGCTAATTATTGTTAAGTTTATGTTGGGAGCAAATTATTTTAAACAATATTTATCGTTTTTATTATTATCTTATAATAAAAAAAACCGAAAAGTTCAACCGAGACATTTGAGGCTGGCATTACGTCGGTTTTTATAAAATTTAGTACTAATTTGTTAGATATTTGCGGGAAGCGAGGTATCGTTTCCACACCCCCACAGTATAATACAAGAGAGCCATAAAAATACAAAAAACAATAACACAATAAAATAAATTAATTTACAAATATTTTGTTTAAGACGAGATATAGAATAATGGGAAAAATAGAAAAATAATAAAAAATGTAATAAATGTATGTAAGAAAACATTTTTATTTTTGAAAAAAAAAAACAACGTGATGTAGATGTGCATCATGATGTTAAATCAGATGAAAACGTGAGTTGTTAACGGAATCCGTCCTGTCACAATATACGAATTGTGAAAGGAACGGAAACAGTTGTTATTTCTGTTGAAACATCAGGCTACGCCACATTTTTGGTTAGTACCCACCTCCCTTCACCTTACCCTGACCAACACCAACGGAGGCGCTCGGACCGAGACGAGATCAGCACCTTGGTTCACAGTCACTCTTGCTGATATCGTTCCAGTCTCACCTCTCGAGGAGGAGGACTGGGGGTATTGGAGTTGGGGCGGTTCGGGCTCCATTGCTACGTCAGAGCCACCCCTGACCTTAAAATTCAACATTTAAAAGCCAAGGACGACTCTGCCACTTGCTGTCCAGAGAGCCTCCACCGATGGGTTGTCCAGAGAAAAAGTTACTAGGAACCCATTCTTCTCGTCCCTACGATTGAGGATTTTCCAGAGCTCGATACGGAGCCCTTTATTTTGTGCCCTCATAAGTACAGCCGCCTTCTCTGAAGAGTCAGCTTCGCTGAGAGGCACAAAGGCGATGCCCAGTTGAGGCTTAGGCATTTCGCTCTCGGGTATTATCGAGAGCTCTGCTTCTGGCCAGGGTTTCAGTTTTCCGATCTCACCCACAATCCAGTCCTGGCTTGCCTTATTCAGGCACGTTACCAAAATCCAACGTTGCTTGTGGATGAGACCCAAAAATTTTGTTCCCATTCCTGGCTGCGCTCCAAAGGCTGTCTTAGTAATAGCCTGCGTTAGTACCCGGTGGACCAGTAGCATCTGCTCCACACTCATAGTATTCGAATTGCGAATTCCTACACGCACGATGCCAGCTATGGCACTGAATCTTAGCTTCTTCTCCCCCGTTGCCAGCTTCACAGATTTCCTGGGCTGGTCTTTGGGGGACTCTTCCTCAGACCGTTTGCGTTTTTTCGCCTTCGGAACTGGAGGAAGTTTGGGCCGAGGAATTTCATCCCAGAGTTTCTGGCAGAGAGAGAGGGCCTCTTCGTCTCCTATCTCGGCTGCTATCAGCCTTCGGTACCTCTTCCGTGCTGCCCCACTAAGCTTATAAGGACTAGTGGACCAGTACCAGGTTGTTGGGGCATTGGGTGTTGGTGAGGCTAAGAGAGTTTCGGGTAGGCACCTTTTGCGTCTGGACGCCACGCATCCATCGGCACGGTACGCTTAACACCTTGGATCGAGTTAAGATAGGAGAAAGGATGTGGGATAAAAAGAAAAGAAAAAAGGATCATCTGAGTGTTTCTGTTCTGTCTGTCTCCTATTGCCAAATAACAGGCGGCAACCACGTGAAGAAAGAACTCCTCAGTTTTGAACTGGGGATTAACACGACCTGCGCTCTGCCCCAGAGCCATTCGCCACACAAACTGCTCCTACTGATAATTAAATCCTACTGTTAATTTGTTCCTACTGATAATGTAAAAATGTAAGAATTAGGAGTAGACTAACCCCCGCCCCAGTATCCACTTACCATCAGGTGAAGTGTGTGCACATTTGTCACCATCATTCTTTAAAAAAAAATTGTTCTCTATTCGTCGTAAAATTGTCCATTACTTGTTTATGATTGCTGTTTTAATAAAATATAATGTTAGCTTGTTCGATAAATAAAATATCGTACTGAGCTGTTTACGACCTACAAAATAAGTCTTATTTGGGAAACATTTCGTAATTAAAGTAATAAATAACAGAACTGTTAATATGTGTAAGAGGAAATGAGTTTTATTAAGCTTAATACAAGCATATGTGAACATTAACACAGAAAAGATGTTTATGTTTGTTTTTATGGTAATTGTTTGTAATCAAGACAAAGAAATTTCACGTAATATGTATAGTCTTTTAAATGGAATACTTCTAATTTTACGGATTTTATCGCGTTTAATTTAAGTTTTTTTATTCACAACGATTGAACGATTTGAACTTTTTTCTGTCTGTGGCAACCAATGTGGTCACCAATTATATCATAATCTTATATTCCACCTTCTCCACTAAACAATGGACAACCCACAACAGTCATTTAATATAGAAGTGACAGAATCAGTGAGCTCCATTAGTCAAAGTCATTAAGAAAAGTCTGATTCTATAAGTTATGTTAACAACATAGGATGAGAAAAAGGATTTTATCTACAAACTTCATACAAATAATTGATGCTGGAAATTAATTATAGATTTTCACGAACAGAGAAAAGACCAACGTTGGTGTCATGAGTTTTTGCAGTTAGCCGAAAAAGAACAAAATGGAAACCAGTGAGAGAATAAAGAAAAGATTAAATCGAGGCAATAAATAAATAAAATAAATAAAAAAGGCAATGCGAGATATCTCTATTGGAAACACAATAAAACCAACGCATGGAACTCTTTTAAAATGAGAAAACGTCAGATGGTTACAAGTGAGTAAAGATGCTCTCGATTCGCTTTTCTTCAAATTCGAATACTGGAAAAAATTAAGGAGGTATGATTAAGCATAAATGTAACTTGGTTGGACTATTCTTCTTATATTATGGAAACAACTTTGTACTCAGAACCACTTTCATTAAAACAAGTAAAAAATAAAGACTTGATGGCTATATGTAAGGGGATGGAACTATTCCTAAAATTACCACAAATTCTTGCTTCTTGCAGGAAATGAAAATTTGGAGATAGGAGCTAATAACGATGACGAAGGGTTAACACTTGCTGCAGCAAGAGCACGTTATTACGACTTTGAACTAGAAACAAAAACTGATTAATTATTTACAGTGTATTGTAAGATATACCTAGTATCTTAGCATGCCTCTTTAATGCAAAAGGTCATTTAAAAAATTAAAACATATTGCAATATAAAATTTTTACATAACACTTAATATTAGTATAGTAATAAGAATGCTAATTTGCCATCGTCTAATAATTTTAATGGCAAGTTGCATTAATGAGGTATGCCAAGATTGTTTATTAACGGAATAAAACTGAATAAGACAAGTAAGTAAAACTTAAGTATCCTTTTTTTAATTGTGCAATTTTTCCTATGCTCTTATTTTTTGGAAATATTTATTGAGTTTTAGAATTTATTATGCTCAGTTTTTATGACTTTAAGTTCATCACAATATGTGATATTTTCATCCATCTCGAATATGATCAACGATCTCTATTGCCATATGTATGAAGTGAGTTGTGAGTGTCAATATGTTTCGTGTTTCTAACTCAAGAGGCCTGCTTTTAAGAATTCCAATACCGTCACTAGATGGCCTTAGATGTTTACTGTTTATAGTTTACATAAACAACTGACATTTTTACAACTGTTCTGGAGTACAAATTTAAAATATTTTAAATTGCAAGCACAAATCATTTCACTGGTAAATTTGGTAACTTCAATCTTACTTTTTTGGCATTGTCTTTGTTAAATTCGCATTCACAAAGGTAAAAACTTTAAAACATAGAATTATTACCCAGTAGAAACGCAGTCTAGTACAAAACAGGAGCATCAAAGTGACGCAAGATTATTATATTAGTGTGCGCGAATCGAATATGCCTACGCTCATCATACGCACACATACACGGCATTCAGTGATATCAGTTTATGGCGTTTGTAATCAAATTGTGCAAATCACTATTTTTTGATTACGTATTACGTACGATGACGTATTTTATGAGAATATAAAAAGTAATAAAAAAACACGATAATGATTGTACTAATATAACTTTATTATACATATTTTAATGGTACAAAAATGCGGAGGTAATAAAATTTAAGGATATTTTGTTATACACAATAATTCGATCGAATGCAACAAGGACATCGTGTAATGTTTAATTTTAAGTTACTTAAAAAAAGGAGGAGTTTCTTAGTTCAGTGTACATTTTATATTTGTTACCTCAGAATTCCGTCACTTATAAACTGACCTGGATTTATTCTTACTTAAAATAAAATAATTTTTTAAATTAATAATTTATTTATTGAAAAAAATGAATTGTAGTTTTTTAAGTTACCCGCTTTTAATTGATAGCAAATAAAAAGTCTTTATTTTATAGTCTAAAATTTTTACTTCGTCAATGAACAACGTAATAAAAATAAAACAGCGTTAAAATGGCGTCAAAATATCGAAATAGGCACCCATGAGATACCATTTGTTAATTTAATGATAATACTTAGATAAGTAAGTATCTACATTAAAACGTTTGAGTTTTACACAGAGCGTTGCGATTTAACATTTAAAATAGATAATAGATATTAAAGATTTTTAAATTAATATTGAGTTATTTTTGTCTTCACAACTAGCAACATTCGTATCGTGATAGCTTAGGTACCTACATATTTTTTTGATTTTACGAGTGATTTACGTAATAATAATGAATTAACATGAAATTATCTCTAAAATGTAATACCAATCAAATCACTTTTTTATGTTTGTCATCACTGTTGTGACAATATTTTAAGTCATTTTACAATTTGTCGCGAGCTCTTCTCCGTAAGGCGAGACGATGCGCACTGACAAGTCGCTGTCGCTGAGTGAACTTACGCGTTTTCGCGTTAGTTTTACTTGCTTCACTTTCGGTGCGAGTACTAGGGTTCTGTACGTAATAATACTATGCTTTTAAATAATATAGTGGTACTCTGATTTATTAAGTATTGGTTCTATTTTGCTTTATACTTCAGATAAAATGTCAATAACAGTGTCTCTTGTAAATCTTAGAAACAACGTCCTGAATCATTTACAACACATATAAAATTCTGACGTTTGCTATTTTTTTGAGCAAATTATCACAGAGAATTATTGTTCAATTCGCGCGCGCCATCTTAAGAATTCCAAAATCTTAGAAAATATTAGAAAATATTACAAATATTATAAGTAGCTATTTAGTAAATTTAATTAATAGAATCAGGCGTTACTTTGCGGAAATCCATTATATAAAAGCTTTTACAAAAATTTACTTCGCAAATATCCGCGTTATAAAATAAAATGATGTGTCTTACCTAGTATGAAGAAGCACCTCCCGCCCTCCGTTGCATTGCTGAATGAACAAACAAATGTTACTAACTCACCTCTCTTAAATATCTTCAAGCCTGCTCTCTAATAATGTGGACGTTGCGCGGCGGTTTGTTTTTAATTTTACAAACGGCTGCGTAAGTCCAGCGGTGATTGGTCGCATGTTTTATCGCATGACGCAGTCGCTCGCTCCTTAGGTAGAGAGCGGTTGCATCATCGGTTTGTATAAAAGGCACTTGTTTTGGCTCGCCGCTCACTTAGCGCTTAGCCACCGTAGAGTCTATATCACCTGAGGATGCCTCGTGTAGAGGCGAAACACGTGTCGTATTATCGTCAGTGGTGTGTCTTGCCTAGTGTAGTGGTGTTGGAAGTAGCGGTGCTGGGATTAGTGGTGAGGGAGGGCGGGAGGTGCTTCTTCATACTAGGTAAGACACATCATTTTATTTTATAACGCGGATATTTGCGAAGTAAATTTTTGTAAAAGCTTTTATTTAGTAAATTGTTTTATACTTAAATTAAGTGTAATAAATTTATTATAATATTACATAAATATAATATTGTAATCCATTTTAGCAAATTATAGTTATTATGCATTATTAAGTAATACATGTTAAGGTATTTACTGCTAAAAAGAACCCTTTTGTCGTAAATCCTCAGTTTCAAGGCACTCCCCTTGTTGCCTCAGCCAGTATTGGAATCCTCGACGTCGACATATCGAATGATGTGCAGTTTCGAGATCACTTGGAAGAGAAGGCCAAATTGGCGTCTAAAAAGCTCTGCAGAGCGAGACAGTATTTCATGCCGGCACACCGCCTG